TCAGAAGTTGATTATGGAGTCAGAACAAGGAAGGAATAGAACATTCAAGGTGAATGTCAGAACTGCAGATTCAGAATGTCTTAGTGCAACATGTGCTGAGAAGGAGAGTGAGCTGTGGCACAGAAGATTTGGTCATTTGAATTTCAGAAGCTTAAAACATCTGAATTCAAAGAAGTTGGTACATGGAATTCCTGCAATTAAGAAGCCTGAAAAATCATGCAAAGTTTGCATGGAAGGAAAACAACCACGTTTGCCATTTGCGTTAGAAGCTGTTCCAAGAGCAAAACATGCCTTGGGAGTTGTACATTCTGATGTGTGTGGTCCATTTCCAGTAGCATCAATTGGAGGGAATAAATACTTTGTGTTATTTGTTGATGAATTCACAAGAATGACATGGGTATCCCTTATTAAGTTCAAACACGAGGTGTTTGATGAATTCAAGAAATTCAGAATGAAGGCTGAGAATCAGAGTGGTCAGAAGTTGAAGATTCTTAGAACTGATGGTGGAGGTGAGTATAACTCCAAAGAGTTCCAGAAGTTCTGTGAGGAGAATGGAATTGAGCATGAGGTTACTGCTCCCTATACCCCTCAACACAATGGTCTTGCTGAAAGAAGAAACCGTACTTTGCTTGATATGGTGAGAAGCATGCTAAAGGAGAAGAAGCTTCCTCAGAAGCTTTGGGGAGAAGCTGTTGCCACTGCAACGTATGTACTCAACAGATGTCCTACGAAGAAGTTGAAGGAAATAGTTCCTATGCAGAAGTGGACTGGAGACAAGCAAAGTGTTAGTCATCTGAAGGTGTTTGGTTCTGTTTGCTATAAACATGTTCCAGAAGCCAGAAGACAGAAGCTGGATGATAGAAGCAAAGTGATGATTCTGATAGGGTACCACAGTACATGTGCATACAAGCTCTATTGTCCAGAAACCAACAAAATTGAATTCAGCAGAGATGTGATTGTGAAGGAATCAGAAGTTTGGAATTGGGATAAGTCTCAATCTGATTCTGATGTTAGAACTTCTGAAGAAAGGTCAGAGTTAAGAATTTCTGAAGTTGAAGTAAACTCTGACGTTGATTCTGACTCTGATAGTGATTCTGACTCTAGAGAAGACTCAGAAGATGAAGGTGACTCTGATGATCCAGACTCTGATGGTAATCCAGATTCTGGTGGAAATTCAGACTCTGAAGATGGCCAAGGCTCTGGAGGAAGTCAAGCCTCTGAAGCTAGAAATTCTGAAGTTCAAGACTCTGGAAATATGCCAGATCCTGAAGTTGGTCAAAGCTCTGGAGAAAGTCAATCATCTGAAGCCCAAGACTCTGAACAAGTTCAGAGACCACAAAGAATCAGAAGCGTTCCCAGAAGATTTGCAGAATTTGACATGCTGCAAGACACTGAAGTAGACTCTGAAGGAGAAGTTATTCAGTGTGCCATGTTAGTAGACTCTGAACCCATAAGTACAGAAGAGGCTCTTAAGCAGAAGCTCTGGCTGAAGGCCATGAAAGAAGAACTTGATGCTATAGAGAGAAACAAGACTTGGAAGCTAACAGAACTTCCAAAAGACAAGAAAGCCATCAGCGTCAGATGGGTTTTCAAGCAGAAGTTAAAGCCAGATGGCTCAATTGGCAAATATAAAGTAAAGTTGGTAGCCAGAGGATTTCTACAAAAACCTGGGCTGGATTACTCTGAAGTGTTTGCACCTGTAGCAAGACATGAAACAATCAGAATGGTGATTGCAATAGATGCTAACAGGAATTGGCCTCTGATGCATTTAGATGTAAAATCTGCATTTCTGAACGGTCCATTAGAAGAAGAAGTTTACGTGTCACAACCTCCTGGATTTGTGAAAAAGAATCAGGAAGGGATGGTGTACAGATTATACAAAGCTCTATATGGATTGAAACAAGCGCCCAGAGCTTGGAATCAGAAGATTGATTCATTTTTCAAGAAGCAAGGCTTTCAGAAATGTGAGATGGAGTACGGTGTCTATGTTCAGCATACTTCTGAAGGCAATATGACTCTGGTATGTTTATATGTTGATGATATACTGCTGACTGAAAGTTCTGAACAGGAGATAACCAAGTTCAAGAAGGTTCTAATGAATGAATTTGAAATGACTAATCTAGGCAAAATGACATACTTTCTAGGGATGGAGTTCAGATATTCTGAGAAAGGTATCATTTTGCATCAACTCAAGTATGAATTAGAACTTCTGAAGAGATTTGATCTGAAGAATTGTAAGATGGCTGTCACACCTTCTGATACAAATCAGAAACTGGATTCAGACTCTGAAGGAAAGGATGTGGACGCTACAACCTTCAAACAGTTGGTTGGTTCTCTGAGGTATTTGTGCAATACCAGACCTGATATTTGCTACTCAGTTGGGATGGTTAGTAGGTTCATGAGTAAACCTAAGTGGTCCCATTATCAAGCTGCTGTCAGGATTCTGAGGTATATCAAAGGAACTCTGAAGTATGGAGTGTTATTTCCCTCTGGAGGAAATAATGAGTCAGAACTTCTGAGTTATTCAGACTCTGATTGGTGTGGAGACAGAGTTGACAGAAGAAGTACATCTGGGTACTTGTTCAAATTTCTGGGAGGTTCCATTTCTTGGTGTTCCAAGAAGCAACCTGTTGTGGCGTTGTCAACCTGTGAAGCTGAATACATTGCAGGTGCTGTTACTGCATGCCAAGCTGTGTGGATTCTGAATCTGTTGCAGGATCTGAAGATTAAAGTAGACAAACCTCTGAAGTTGATGATTGACAATAAGTCTGCAATCAATCTTGCCAGAAACCCAGTGTTGCATGGGAGAAGCAAACATATTGAGACAAAGTATCATTTTCTGAGACATCAAGTTCAGAGTGGAGTGTTAGAAATTGTACACTGCAGCACTCAAAAGCAGTTGGCAGATGTTCTGACGAAAGCTATCAAGACTGATCAATTTCTCAGACTAAGGGATGGAATTGGTGTTACAAGTTTTGATGGAATATGAATTAAGGGATGGTATTAGAATATTAATAGTAATTCATATTTATTTAGTTGTACCATTTTTCTTAACCCCTAAGTTTGTTAGAGGGTATTTTAGTATTTTATCTTTTTCTAGTAACCCTAGTTTTAGTTTATAAATAGGGTGACAATCATTATAACTTTTATCATGTTTTTCTGCCGTCATTCTTAATAGAATATTTCTACCTTTCATCATTTATTCTACCTTTGCACCAACAATCATGGCTACTCAAGAAAAACAAGTTTTTCATGTGACAAATCCTGTAGACTTATCGAAGAGATGGTCAATTTTTCTCAAAAGAAAACACATTCCTCTTAGTGATGATGAACATTTTGGTATTCCTTCCACTCGTTGTTATGCAACACAAGTGTCTACTTCATATGAAGAAGTTGATAGAGATGATGTACATGTTATTTGTAACGATCATCAAGAAGTCATATGAGAAAATTAACAAGTATTTTATATTCTTCATTCATAATTTATTGTATTTTATAATTTCTAATGATGTTATTAACAAGGTAGTATTATTTGATGTAATGATGCGTATATTGTAGGCTGTTTTGTGTCATTTTGGTTTTGATGTAATCTACAATTTTTTGGTTCCTAATGGAATTGTGTCATTGATGTAATACAATTTTTGGTCTAATTATTAATGTTTCTGGTTTGATACGATTCATACATATTAAGGTTTAAAATTTGAGAATACTGAAAAGTCGAAAAACATACATATAAAAAAACAAATTATATCACACCGATTTTTAACTCAGTCGTTGTTATAAGTAGCGCGCTATCTAGAATAATAAAAGGCAAGAATGATGTTGATGAGATTCGAATCCAAAACTTATAAATTATTTCACAACAACGGTTTGTTTTAACCATTGCTATAATTAACACGTTATCTAACTTATAACCAGAGTCATTCACCCGTTGTGAAAACCAACATACATACAATCACACATTACCTAATCACGGACGAGAAACCATTATTATATATGTTTCACAACCGTCATTATATACGTTTTCCGTAGTAGTGATTAGGAAGTGCATGCAATTGAATTATAATTGATTGATAGTAGAGTAGAAGTAGAAGATTTTTTTTATTATAATACTCTCTCCGTTCTAAAATAAGTGTCATACTTGTCATTTTCACACAAATTAAAATAACATAATAAATAAAATAGAGAGAAAAATGATTTTACCAAATTATTCGTATTAATTATTGATGTATTCAAATTAACATTAATATAAGATTAAAAAATAATAAATTAAAGACTTAATTACAATTTTGATCCCCTCTTTTACTTGACTCACGAAATTGGTTCCTTCTCATGTTTTTGAACTTAAAATTAATGATATTTTTATTTTTTAAATGACAATTTACATGTAAAACATAACAAATCATCATATATAAACCTATTATTGAACTTTGTAGATAAAATATAAGTTTAAAAAAAATGATATTTTCATCAATTTTCTATGAAAAAGATTTGAGACGGGACTAAAATTGTTTCAATTTAAAATAAAAAGATCAAAACTGTTTAAATAGAAAGACTAATTTCGTGAATTAGATGAAACAGCGGAACAAAATCTGTAATTTAGTCTAAATTAAAAATATTAATTAGAAAATACAAATTAAAAGATAAAAATTTAATTTGAATTGATAAGAAAGTGATAAATATTTTAAAACAAATAACTTTTTTAGATGGGTCAGGTATTATTGGCTGAGGAAATTATTTTGGGAAGCAAGAAGTAACAATTTAAAACTTATCTGTATTTAGCTTTAGATAAAAAGAAAACTCTTCCAATTGAGAAAAATAAACGCATTTTAACGATTAAAAAACCCTAAAAACAAAAGTCCTCAAATCCATGAAATCACACAAGATAAAATGCAGGTGCTGCTGCTGCATTGCCCCTACATTAGAAACAAATTGGAGTCCCACTGAAGTCGCCGGAAAACGAAAGGTTCGCCGGAAAACCTAGACCGAGTTTGTTACCGATGAACGGAAAATCAACAGAAAGAGTGAGAATGTCCAGGTGTTTCTCTTCTTCTTTCTTCGCAAATTCATTCCCTTATACTGTATCGCGCTCGAGAATGTGATTCCACCATGATTTGCAAAAATCGCGTTTCGGGAAAGCTCTATTTCGCACCGCGATTTTGCCATATTGATTCAGTTTTGCATTTTATTTTTGTCTTTTATATGCTTAGAAGCTGATTTTCTGTCACATAAGGTACAAAAGAACTTTTCATTAATGGAAAAATCTTTGATGTTTATAGGCCTGCGATTGACTTCACTGTGAAGAGGAAAAGAAGTAATGCGTCACGCAAACCTAGGGCTAATTGTGATGGAATATTTAAGAGATACTTCGGGTGGTTACCACCTGCTGAGAATGAGAGTGTGAGAGATACAGTGGTTGTTTCTGATGGATTAGGAACTAATAACAAGTTGAAGAAGCTAAAACTCAAGTTTGGGGGTGTTACTCATACTATTCATACCAAGTCAAAGGCAGGAACATGCCTTCCTTCTGGCTCTGATGGGAGAAACCCTAAGGTAATTGAATAATTTTGCAAACTGAAATTAGGATTATTCAGTTTTTGGTTGCTGGAATCAGCATTTGCAAAACCAGCTTCTGGTGTTGTTTGTATAACTTCAAAAAGTTATGCTGGCAACTCACTTTCTTATTGGTTAAAATGTTAGAATCTCAACAATTAGATAGTATGTTGAGAGGAGAATGTTAGAAATTGTGTTGATAGCACTCAACTTCTAAATATTCAATATCAAGTTTAGTATGTATATGTTAATGTTACTATATTTCCTCCTGATAACTTGATATTACCCACTAAAGCTTCTTATCTAACCGTTATCAATGCATGCAGGACAGTGCAAATACTAATGATCCCCGTTCTTCTGATAAGAAGAGAGATGTTGGGGAAAAATCAGTTAAGCTCTCAAGAACTGAATCTTATTTTGCAGCTGAGAATCATTCACATAAAAGAAAGACAAGTGGACAACATGCCCGTAAGAGCAAACAAGTTACTGAGAGATGTGCCTTGGGCGTGGGATTTAGTGACGTAGAAGATGAAGATGCAGAACTTCAATTTCTTGAAAAAATCAATTCATCAAAAAGATCAGCTAGTCGCCATAAAGATAATCAAGGAGGCACAACAATGCGTGGCATTTGTAAAGATGCATTAGGTAAGAAATATGGGGATCAGGACTATGTGGAAGAAGTCCCAACATCAAGTGATGAATCAATATTAGAAGGGAAGAAGCCAAAGAGGGAGTCTGTTGATTTGGTTGTACCAAGAAAGCAATCCACCCGAAGTAATCGTAATTGTCCCGTTGACTCTTTCAATGATATGTTATCTGGGCCAGTTGCAAGCATTATTGACATCTCAGGTTGTTTGGTTTCCATATTATCTGAAAGTGATAATTTATTTAGTTTAGATTTAAATTTACTCATTGATGCTATTTTAGTTGCTTTATCATTTTAAGTTTTATTTAGAGGTATCAGTATAAGAGATAAATGAAAAGTTAGAGATATAGCAACAAGCCTTGAAAACACATGGCTTTCACCCCAAGTGTAAGTGTATAGAGTTTACGAAGTGCAAGTTTAGTAAAAGACAAAGGAGTTCTAACTCAGGAGAAAATAGAAAAACATACAATATTACTAGTCTTGTGTTTTAAGGACCTTGAGTCCATGGAAAGTGATGAGGAGGTTGAGGGAGATGTAAACCATTGGATTGAAGTGGAATGGGTGAAATAGGCGAATGCTTTGAATGTTATATGAATATAAAATACAGCTGAAGTTTAAAGGGCTTTCACCCCAAGCGTAAGTGTATAGAGTTTACGAAGTGCTAGTGTAGTAAAAGACAAGGAATTCTAACTCAGGAGAAAATAGAAAAACATACAATATTACTAGTCTTGTGTTTTAAGGACCTTGAGCCCATGGAAAGTGATGAGGAGGTTGAGGGAGATGTAAACCATTGGATCGAAGTGGGATGGGTGAAATAGGCGAATGCTTTGAATGTTATATGAATATAAAATACAGCTGAAGTTTAAAGGGATTTTTTTTCCGCATAGCTATAATACCATAGTGTTGTATGGAACTGAATGGTGGATATGATTAAAATCCAACAAGAAAATAAATTTAGAGTCACAAAGATCAGAATGTTACGATGGATTAGTGGTTATAGTTATGGAAGAGAAGATGTGATTAAAAGTACAATCATTAGAGAGGAAGTTGGTGTGGCCTCTTTAGTAAGCAAAATGGTAGAATTCTTTCGGAGATGGATTGAGCTAGTTATGAATACGTATAGATACACCCTAACGATGAGGAGGAAAATAGACAAGATGGAGAACATTCTCATATTTAGAGGAAGAGATTAAGAAAAACTATAGGTCAAGTCATTTGATGATATTTAGAGTATATGGTCTCCTGTTAGACCTAACAGCCTCATACATGTTGGGATTTTATAGTATTGACTGATCCATGTTCCCTACCTCACCTATAGGTTTCCTATTATAACATTGATTATTATTTTGTGTGGTGCATAGTACTTTAAATGGTATCTAAAAATTTGAAATTAATAGTGGAAGCAAAAAACTTTAAGGATGAGGTTAGCGGCGTAATTATTTTTAAGACTATCAGAATTACCTTATAGATTTCATGATTGAAGTTAGGATTTGTGTATGACTGCTGATGTAAGAGGGCCAACAAATATGGATTAAAAGTAAATCTGCTGATACAAATTTTTAAATAGACTAATCTAATTAAAGAAGATAAACTTACGAAGAATGTAATCTGAAGCATTTTACTTACCCACCTTATTTGGTGTAGCTTAGCATCCCTCTCATAATCTTAGCATCTGAAGCATTTCCCTTTTACTAAATAATAACTTTTATCTTAGATCTTGATTGACATGGTATAAATATCTCTAGGAATATTTGTTGACTCATATTTCCATTTTCTTTGTTGATAATAAGATAAAAAGGCCAAATTATCCGAGGAGCAGCTAATCAAGAAAGCCGAGGCTGCAAAGAGACGAAAAATTCAAGCAGAGAAGGCAGCTAAGGAGGCTGAGGTTTGCATGTGACTCCTTTGTTCTTCTTACATCTAGGAATTCATACTGTAGTATAGCATTGAGATGCAATGCAACATGAATTCTAGATAAGATGTTAATAAATTAATTTTCCTTGTGTTTATGCAGGAGGCAGCCATTAAGAAGATACTTGGTCAAGATTCTGCTAAGAAGAAGAAAGAGGAAAAGATGAACAAGCGCAGGGATGAATTAGCAAAGGTCTTGATACAATTAATGACCAACATTTTTCCTCTTAGCATATTGTTTCAAGTTATAAGGCTCTAACATGTTGGTTGTGCAGGAAAAATCTAGCAAACCCTTTCATCTAGCATCTAAAACTGTTCGATGGACTATGGGTCCCAATGGAACTGTAGTAACTTTTTCTGAAGACATGGGTCTACCAAGTATCTTCCAAACAATACCGAAGAGGTACAGTTTTGCAACTTAATCTTGCCGTGTAGGGAGTTTTAATCTTCTAACTAATCGTCTTAATTGACATGCTTTAAAAACTTCATTTCTGTAATGATTATGTTATGAATTGTTTCAGTTATCCTCCCCCAAGGGAAAAGTGCGCAGGTCCAAACTGCACTAATGCTTACAAGTATCGGGATTCCAAGTCAAAGCTTCCTCTTTGCAGTCTTGGTTGTTACAAGGCCATTCATGAAAAAATGTCTCCTGTGGTTGCATGTTAGTCCTTGTAAATAGTAGAAAACTAGTTTTAGACCCGGGAAATGCATGGGTTAAATAGTTGAGCAAATGTGATAAATACGTAGTTAGATTTGATTTTTGCAAGTGTTGGCCAGGAAGATATTTGTGCTAATGTATGAGAAATGATTATTCAAATGGACCTATTTGGCTCAATTCTGTTTTGTTAGTATATTCATTGTGTTTCTTCTCATGGCAATCGACACCCTTGTACATTTCTTTAGAGGTCATTTGGACAGTTTCTGTTTTTAAATCTCTATTAGTGTGTCACTAAGCCCTAAGAAAGAAGGGTAGGGTTTATTTTTTCAATTTAATACAAGTTATGAGGTGTAAAGATGAAAAATTATAAGAGAAGTAATAAAAGAAATTGGTGTAAGAAAATCAAATATTTATACTATAGTTGAAAAATAAATAAAATATAGCTTAAAATAATTGTGTGTGCCTGACTTGAGAATGTTACTTGTTGAGTTTTTTTTAGATAAAATTGAATTATAAACAATACAAACAATATCATGAGTAAATAAGTATTTATTGTAATTTATATAGAAAAATAAAATTTAGATGTTAGTTTGAAAGCTTTTGTGATCTTACATTTAGTCATCCAAGCAAGGACAGGGCTCTTACATTAATACACTTGCTTGAGATTCAGGTGGTTTTATAGGATGTAATGTGAAAGATATTGAGAGTATGATTGTTCTTTTCCCATTCTGTAGTCATAGATTTGCAATGTAGACATTAGAAAATAAACTTGGAGACTCAAGTGGTTTTATAATAACTGATGTGCAAAGACATTATTAAAAGAACATTATAAACTTTTCTAGACAATATAGTATGTTCAATTTATCAATGACGTCGGTTAATACATAATTACATGACATAAGTACAATAGCGGGTTCATAAAATATCTGTTGAGTATAGAATGAAAACATTCCTACAGACAGCATAGAGCTAAGAATCTTGATATTGGAGCTAACATGAACAATGAAAACACCTAAGATTCATTCATGAAAACTGCTCCATGTTCTGTAGATTTAATGAACTTCTTCAGCAGAAGAACCATAATTGCTATAGCAAGTCCAATAGCTGCCAGTGTGAACACTCGGTCATCGGGTTTTTGAACCCTTGTCTCTGGTTTCAGATTTTGAACTCTTGTCTCTGGTTTCAGATTTTGAACTCTTGTCTCTGACTTTGGGGGTAACTGATTGCTTGGGACTTCAGGTTGAATCTCATTTGTCGCTTCAACTCCCGCAGGGTTAGGATTAGCATTAACAGGGACTTCTTGTTCTTCAACTATTCTCTCACCTGTTTCATCTGGAATCCCCTCTCCTGCAGGTAGAGCCTCAGGATTTGGCAAAGTAACTTGAGTCTTGGCCTCTTCATTTTTGGGTTCTTCAGAAGCCTGTGAAGGGCTAGTTTGAGGAACCGGGTTTGCTTTGCTTAGCATATAGTCATGAATCTGGGATGACAAAGTGAAATCAGTAAAAGGTATTACAAAAAATTGATCCAGGTTGAAACAAAGAGAAACACTTAACCTGGTATGAACAACATAAGAAATTGTGAATAAACATGCACTGCGGGAAAAACAATAAGTAACATTTACCTCATCAATCAGTTTTTGACGTTCAGGAGTCCCAAATTTTGGAGATGCTTCGCGAGATTTGATGGCCAAGGCTCGCCTATCTTCTTTTTTGTAGTCTAATGAGCCCAACGCACCATTTGGGCTGGTGGGCATGAATGCAATCAGTGCAACTAGAGCAGTCCTAACTGTCATAAGAAATTTATATCAGTAAAATGGTAAAAGAGATTCTTCTTCCATCAAAGCATGAATCTTCGATAGTTATGGTAAATACTAAGAGGGGTTTGAAAGAGTTTATTTGAGTTTACACGGCAATAGGTTATATTGAGCTTATGAAAATGGAGTAGCTAACACAGGCATTTGAAAAAACTTTCATTTTGATAAACTGCATTCAGCTTATGCAAAGTTTATTCTCATTTCTATCCTATTCCAGAAACAACATGTACATAAGCTCTTACACTACATATATTTATCTGAGTTGTATATCTAAATTGCCCCCTATATGACAAGAGTCACAAGATAATTTTTTTTTAAAACTGAATATCCGGGCCCAATCTCACCGTCCACTAGCAAGGGTCACATTTAAAGCCAGAGGATAAGACTATATGGACTAGCCCAACATAGGGATTATTGGCACCTAGCCGAATTTGATTCAGCTGGTGAATCTGGTCTAATTAGTGGAGAGTAACAATCAAAAAGAAAATTATACAACAGGTATCATCCTGCAATTCTTATATATCCAAAAAGAGCCAACTAAGAATAAGTATTAGTATATCACATGCAAAAACAAAAAACTGAGCCAACAAATATACTCCCAAACATGAGTTGAAACAAAGTTCTTCATATGCAACTAGTCATGTGTGGAAATAAGTACTCACCACTCCATGATGGTTGCCAATGCTCAGGGTGATGATTTGATATGCTCAAGCAAATCTTGGTTTGTGTCTCGAAACGACCATTAGGCTGATCGCATAACAATTAAATTCATAAGCATATAGTAATTGAGCTTTCATACACAGCTCAAAAATAAATTAAGAAATTGAAAGTATAATTACATCAGAACCTAGCTAACCATGAAGCACAAACACCCGAAACAAGACATCGATGCCGGTAATGATTTGAAAAAATAACTTACTGTCAACAACATAAACGAAGGAGGTTTGAATGGATATTCAGCAGGCAATTGAATCCTTCCATGATAAATACCACCCTCAAATTCAGTTTCACCAGGTCCCCTAATTGCAAACTGCCATTCAAATATATTTTCCTGAAACCAAACACAAAGCTCAATAAATCGTTTGCAATCACTTCATGTACAAATTCATAAACTTAACTATTAAAATTAACAAAATTGAATTGAATAACAAGAGATCGCAGAAAGAAAATCGAAAACCCTAAATTGAAAAATCGGTTAAGGGAAAAGGGGTAAAAATGGAAAAAAAGAAAAAAAAACCTCGAGAGGTAAGCTCATGAAATCATCGGAAGGGTTTGATTGCATTTCTTTGACCTCTTGGAGAATCCGCTTGACGGCGGGATTCTTCATGTTGTACTTGTCCGCCATCGTTGAAAATCGGATTATGTGAAGCTGCGAATTCGACGGGATTTGATGTATTCTGTTGAATTAACGATGACCGGAGAAATGGCTTCAGGCGAATTAACGGTGATCGGAGAAATAGATTATAGATAATTCATGGTTGTGTTTGTGTTGAATTTTGGTGAGGAAATGAGAGAATTTGGATCGAAAATTATATAGATGAAGAAGAGGATGTTAGTTAGGCTGTGTCTCCGAGAATGGACACGTCATACGAAGTGTGTTTGCTTACGTGTCGTTCTTATATTGGATATTTTGGAGCTGATGTGTTGATTGGGTCTAGTTAACTTGATTAAACTCGTTGGCAAATCAGTCAAAAATTAATTCATTATTCTTGATTTAGCATAATTTCAGGTAGGTTTTCAATATTTATCTTTATGCGAAATCTGCTGATTCAAATTGAATTAATTTATAAATTATTCGAATCAATTTATTTATTAATTGTATTCAATTTAAGTAGTATAGTTTTATTTTCGCTATCAAATTTTAATTTCTCAATTGATGTGAAAATAACTCTTTCTTATTTTATATTATTATTTTAAATAAAAATATAAAATTAATATCTTACTATTAATTATAATTATATTTTAAAAATTATTTAAGTAAAATATCATTTCTCCTTTAACTATTTGGTTTAGATTACTTTTTTAATTTTTTTAGTGTTAATATGATCTATTAATTCTTCAAAACATATCATATTATTAATATATTGATATTTATAAAATAATTTTAAAAATATTGAATTATAATATACCTCGTTACTAAATATAAATAGAAAGTAGATCTTACTGTCAATATTTTTCTACAATCACAAATTAAAATATTAATAGTTGTTTGATTTTTTTTACGGGATAAACTTATAACATTTAATTAATAATAAGATTTTGGATACATGTTGGTACGTCATTAAAATTTTGGAAACTAGAAAGATATGGAGTCGTCCGTGCCAAAACGTGAGCAACCTCATTGGCTTGTCTCCTAACGAACTTAACATGAGAGTTCCTATAAAGAAGTGCTAACAAGCGCTTACACTCCTTAGTGATAGCACCGAAATCCAAATCATTAGGATTTTCGATGTTCACATTATCCACTACACTTTTAGCATCTAACTCAAAATCCACATTGTCCAGACCTAACTCATGAATCCATTTGATTGAGTATAAAAGGCCTAACGCTTCACCCACATCTACTTTAATAATAGGCGAGAACCACATTGTACGTGCAGCAACAAACACCCCTTCCTGATCTCTAATACATGTACGTATTTCAACTTTGTTATTTAAGAAGGATGCATCAATGTTGCATTTAAACCGCCCAACTGAAGGTTTGCTCCACTTGAAATAAAAAACCACTTGATGTTGGGTAGTAAGCCTCGATCTGATCTGTTGAGTATTTCTCCAACCTGCCAATAAGTAAGAAGCACAATGACAAATAGGTTATGGGGAGTCATCAATATGGTTCCAGATAAAATTATTCATGCACTTTCAAATGCTCCACAACATAGTTGAGAACATAGCTTGTTGATCTTTATTAGAATCCTGTAAAAAGGAGAAGATTGAAATAGCAAAACCAACTTCGTTATTTGATAACTGTTGTAACCTAGACCGCATACCCACTATTTCCCAACACCTAATGCTCTTAGAACAATGAAGAAATAAATGATCATAATTCTCCTCTCCTTCCCCACAAACACCATAACTAGAAGGACAATCAACACCTTTGTCTTTCAATCTCATTCTAGATTGGCACACAATTCATGCAAAGGCGCCACATAAATTTTTTGATCCTTGGAGGAATCTTTAGGTTCCATATCAAGTTCCACCTCTTATCAATCCTAATATGAAAGGTGTTAATGGCTTCTTTAATGCAGAAACGATAAGCACTACGCACGGAAAATCAGTCATTCTTCTCCAGGTTTCAAACTAACTTATCCACCTGAACCGACTCGAATAACAAAGTATTGAGAACCTTAGACACATCTCCCTCCCCTAGAAGAGAATGAACCAAGTTGGGATTCTGTTGTTTGCCATTAGAACTCAATAGATTCGAGACATTGAGATCAACCACTTCCGGGTAATTTGGCCAAGGATTGTCCAAAACTGAACTATCATGAAGCCACTTCTGTCCCCAAATCAAAATACTCGCTCTCGTACCGATACATAACTTGGATTATGCCCAATAATAGAATCGAGAAAATCATAATTGGGGAAATACCTTGCCTTATATAGACGAGTAACCAGGTTGTAGGGCTTGGTCATAAAACTCCAGGCTTGTTTACTCAGAATAGCATAATTGAAAGTACTTAGGTTTTTGAAACCCATCCCTCCGTTAGATTTGGGCATAAACAACCGGTCCCATGAAAGCCAATGAATGTCTTTTCCCCGATCTCTCTTGTGACCCCACCAAAAAGAATTTATCATTTTCTCAATTTCCTTGCTTAAAGAAGAAAGCAACAAAAAGATACTCATGATATAAGAGAGAATAGATTAAATAACTGATTTAATGAGAGTTTCCCTTTCTGGTTGAGACAGACTCCTACTACTCCAAGAATTAATCTTATTCCAAATTATATCTTTAACGAACTTGAAAGTAGCTTTCGTGCTTCTGCCTATCATAGATGGCACACCAATTTACTTACCCTGTCCCTAGCACCTGTTGAACTCCTAAAGTGTCAACCAAAGCATTCTTAATATTTGAATCAACATTACTATTGCAAAAGACTTCAGATTTTTGGAAATTAATGGCTTGTCCCGAAGCTTCCTCATATACGTTAAGGATATTCTTCATGATATTAGCTTTAATGCACAACCGCTCTAAATTACAGAAAACAATCATCAGCGAAAAGAAGATGAGATATTACAGGAGCATTCTTACAAATTATTATCCCATGGATGTCGCCTCTGGCTTCTGCTTGCTTAATAAGAGCTGATAACCCTTCCGAACACATAATGAATTAATACTGAGATAAAGGGTTCCCTTGCCTTAGACCCCGCCCAAGAATAATCGGCCCCACCATGTTACCATTCATGCACACAGAGTAGTCAATGGTTTCCACACATAATATAATCCACCCGACCCATTTCTGACAAAAACCCATAGTGATAAGTATCTCCTTCAGATAATCCCAATCAATTCTGTCATAAGATTTACTAATATCCAATTTGAGAGCTATATCCCCTTGCCTACCTTTTGTTTTAGTCTTCATGTAACGTACCACCTCGATGGCTGCCATGGCATTATCTAAAATAGATCTACCAGGGACAAAAAGTTGATTGATTATCCGAAATACACTTATCAAGGACTCTCTTTAGCCGATTAGCTATAACTTTTGCTATAACTTTATACAACACATTACAGAGAGAAATCGGTCCCCAGTCTTTCAAGGAAGTTTGAACTTCACCTTTAGGAATAAGAGTAATATTCGCCATATTAAGACTATGAGGGAAAATACCACTCTCCAACCAAGCACAACTAGCATTAAAGATTTCAATCCCACAAGTGTACCAAAATTGATGATAAAAACCTGGATTGAAATCACCAGGGCTCGGACTCTTGTCAGCTTGCATAGAAAATATATCTTCTTTAAATTCCTCCAAAATAAATGGAGTTGTCAACATAATATTATCTTCATATGAAATAAGGGATCCAATAGTCTGTAAAACCGGATCCCGAGAGCTAGTCTTCTTCTGAAATAAATCTGTGAAGTAATCAAGAGTAATTTTACACATTCCTTTAGTCAAAGTACTCACTTATCCATTATCATTTTTAAGAGAGAGAATAATGTTGATTTTTTTCTTAGCAGAAGCTGAAATATGAAAGAATCTAGTATTTAAATCTCAATCCTTAAACTAGTGAACTTTTGTTCTTTCCAAAACATGATGTCTTTGACCAAAAGTGAGTTCATACGCCTTTTGAGAGTTGTAAAATAATTAATGTTTCCTACTCCCACATGATGTCGAACTCTATCAATCTTCCTACTTATTATCTCAATTTATTTTCTAGTCTTGTGACAATTATCTTTATGAGAAACACTTACTATTTTTTTTTTTGCAAAGTAGAAAATTAAGAAGAAATTAATATTTTAAGTATTTAACTACATACAAGAAATTTATGCATGTGTCGTGTATGTGGCATTTACAAGTTTAAAAATATATGTGTGTGTGTCATGTATGTGTCACTTACAGGTTTTTAAAAGTCATTTTTTATTTTGCATAGACTCGTACGAGTTTGCAAGTCGAGTCTACAGAACCTTTACGAGTCCAAGTAGACTTGCGAGTTTGGCAACCTTGCATAATATAATGTTTAATAAATGCATCCACGTAACATAATACTTGATAGTGGTAGAAAATTCTATAAAACATGTTATTTTCATAAAATATTTAACTTTGAAATGATACAAAAGTAAATACTTAGTCTTAGAATTACATAAATTCATTGGTCTTGTAGTAGTATTGATGATGAATAAATGGAAAAATATCATTTTTGATCCTTTAACTATACCCTTGAGTTTAGATTAGTCCCTTATTTTTTTTTGTGTCAGATTGATCTCTTAACTCTTTAAAACATGTCATGTTAGTCCTTTATGTCCAATTAGTGACAAATTTAGCGACCAATTTTTGAATTTTTTTGTCGCTAACTAGACGAAAAGGACTAATATGGTATGTTTTGAGGAGTTAAGGGACCAATCTGACAAGAAAAAAATTAAGGGATCAATTTGAAGCCAATTGTATAATTAAGGGACCAAAAAGGATATTTTACCTAAAATAACATGTTAAATATATATTCTTGATTTTGATAAATTAAACACTACGCTTATAAATTAAACACTACACTTTAAAATTGGTACTGCCCATGGAAAGAATGATCAGAGCACTCAGCTTAGATAGTGTTGGAGAAAGTTCTACCTCAGCCCGACCTAGAGGGCCTAGGCCTCACAACCTTCATTCTCCTCGCGTTAGAGTTCGTGGTCCACACATTCCTCATTATGATAACGCTGGTATAGGTGAAAATGGATTTGAAAGGAGTGGTCATGTTGCATAAGAGAAGGATCCCTCCGAACATTTCAGAGATAATGGTGCCAACGAGGATCTCCCCAATGAACACTAGTGGTATGTTAATGGGTGGCTCTTAGTGATGGAAAGTTTGAGAACCGTTTTGGGATAGTTAGTAGACTATATAGGTCTACATTCCTAGACTTTACCTTTCAGTAAGTGTTGATTTAAAGTATGTGATAATGTGAATATAATAATGTTAGTTATGACTAAGGTGCTTATCTTACAGGTGTTGTAGGAATAACTATCAATGTTTTATGCTTGTATGATATGTAAGCCTACAGAAAAATAATTAGTACTGATGTGTGTTGTAATATAATATAGAATACATGTTGGTATTTGCTTATATCCCTTCATAAAAAATGACTTTAACTTTTAAATCAATTTGAAATAGCTTGATAAGATTTTAATGAAACTAAGGATTATGATTTTTTTTACATAAATAATTAAAGACATAATACTATTTAAGGAAAATAGGGGTTTTACATTAAGTGTTATCAGAGCACAGTTTGATCTTCTAGGATAACTTTGAGTTTAGGGTTTGTTATGTTTTTTTTTTGTGTGTGAAAATCTATTAGTATTTTAATACATATTAGATTTTGATTAGTGTTGCCTTTTAGGAATTAAATGGATGGTAGAAATACATGTTTAAACACTAAGGATGCTAAAGGTAACAATAACAATGCTAGCAATAACATGGATAAGGCTATCCAAGTAATGGATGGCATGTCAGTTTCGATTGCATAACAAACTCATGCGAAGAATCATATACACCTTAAAAAACAATAGAGGGAGGAATAAGTTGTTGGATCAAAAGAGTTAGTGGACTTTAGACGTCACAATCCTCCACAATTTCACGGAAATTCGGATCCAGGAAAATATAACTCTGGATTCAAGAAATCGAGAAATTTTTTAATATACTAATGTGTCATGATGGGATAAAAGTAAACTATGCATCCTATTTGTTGCTCGGAGATTATAGTATTGGTGGAAAAGAGCCAAACGAATAGTTAAAGCTAATAATCAGGAAGTAACACAGGAGGTATTTTGTATTAAGTTTTTAGATAAGTATTTTTCCAAGAGCGCTAGGACTGCAAAGGAGCAATAATTTCTCACTCTAAAACAAGGAGGAATGACTATTGAAGAATATGCAGCTAAATTTGAGTCGTTTGCAAAAAAAAAATTGTCTTTTTTAGGAGCAGGTTGACGAGGATTTGTTATGTGAAAGATTTGAGGGTGGACTAAGACACAACATTAAGGAATCTGTCTTGCCTTTGGAGAATCGTCAATTCCAACCTCTTGTGGAAAAATGCATAAAAATAGAAGCAATGGAGGAGGATGGAATCAACCAAGGAAATGCTGGAGGACCATCTAGGTCTAAGTATCCAACTTTGGGATGGAATCAAAAAGGAAAACAATTATACAAAAAAACTTATTCCCTAACTTTGGGAAATGATCAAAATCAACGACCTATCGTCCAATTGCATCTATAATTGGAAATGGATCAAATAGGAATCAAAATCAAGAACCTACTCAAAAGTGTTTCAAATATAGGAAATAAGACCATTTGGCTAACACTTGTCCCTTGAAATGAATATTGTGTTTCAAATGTGGAAAGATAGGACACATGGTTAGGGAGTGTATGGATGCGAAAGTTGAACCAGTGGTGAGTAATGTAAGGGCTGTAAGTTTTTACTATGAAATTTAGCAAACAAAAAAAGTTTCAATTTATACTTAAGGGATTAAACTCGAAAAGATACCAAGACATATTTGTGTGAATTATGGATTTCAAGCAATCTTGACATCAAAATAGAAATGCAAAGTTTGATAATAATGATTGAAATATACTCTAAAATCGAAATGCAAAGAACTTGAAATAAAATGACTGAAAGTAATTTAATTATCGAAAATGATTTGAACATAAAGACTTTGATTTATAAAAGATGGAACAAATATGTACATTGTTGACTCTTTTCTCAATCACACAGATACTTTGAGTTTGATAGAATTTGTGTAAAATTGCGGACTCTTAAAACATAAGCAAGCATCTACTTGTATACTAGTCTAAAATAACTGTCTACACCAGTCGACTAAGCAAAACACGCCACGTCTTCGTCTCTTTAATTAAATTCCCGGTCTTATCCAATTACACCTCATTCGACTACGCAAAAAAGAAATTTGGGAACTCTGAATTCCACTAAGTCCCAAACCCAACGAACCCCCTTGGTCTTTTACTTATTGCAATATTCGATCAAAATTAACCCCATCCTTTAACAAGTCGAATTCGTTAAAAACCAACATGGTCATAATCAATCATTTCAACTTTTCACAAAAACTCATTATTGCATTATCCTTGCTTAAACTTTGCAATTATTGCTTGTGTCGAAAATCTGAGATAACAAATTGTCCCCCAAAATGACATGTTTCGATTTTAAATAAAAAAGAGAAAGGTGGCATTTTTAAATGTATTTTCGACACTATTTCAACTCCTCTGCTGACATCATTATCATCATTACCACTTTACTGCGTGTTGTCATTTTCCAAAAGATCCTCTTAGAATCCCATAATTGCTCCTATTTTTTAGAAGAACATGTATTTGTATGTCTTCATTAACTGCTCCACTCACATCAACTTTATCACTTCTTGCAACATAAAACATTTTACCTTTACACATGTATATGCTAAGTGTCCGTTTATGACAAGAACAACACTCTATAAGTACTCAACTCATTTCCTCTCTTCATCTTCTTTGCTTTCACTTAACCCTTTTACATAGAAAAAACCCTTTTCGCAAAATCTCTCAAACTTCAACAATGGAGACCAACACTTCAACATCCAAGTTTGACACTAGAAAGCAACTTTGAAGGTAGAATTCTTCAAATGGTGGATAAATTACTTTGAAGGCAACTTTTCTGAAGAGAACTTCTGAAAGCGACTATCAACAACCTTCTCCAACCTAAAAAAGAATCAAGATAAGAAAACAAGTATGTATAAATTACTTATTTAAATTTGATATACCCTTCGACTTCTCACATGTTTTGGTTGTAGGTGAACCTGAAGCAAAAGGCGACACCAATGTTGAAGGCTCTTCTGCTGGTGAAGCCAAGGAAGATGAAGAACCCCAAAAGAAAAGGCTAGTCTTTTAACATATGAACATTAACTAACATCGAAATGGTTCTAATCATACTTTATCTTTCAAAATAAAAAACGTGATTCCGATTCTCCGATAACCACAACACTCAAGAAGAAGAAATCCAATAAGACTACCTAGACACAGGAACATAGTTAATCTCAACTTCAATAGTTTTTTTTTTCATGATTCAGTCATTTAATCCAAACCAATATGTCTAGGTTACTCCAAAACCAACTAAAACTTTAGATGAGGTTGAAAACCCATAAGATAATGAGAAAACTCTCATCTTCTCGAGACCTAAGCCCAAAACTTCTCCTAAGCCAAGCACCAACAAGGTAAAACATGCTCCTCAAAAAGAAAAATCCAAAAAGGAAACCAACAC